TGTAGGAAAATATCCTCATATCTTTCAAACAGAGATAAATACATTGAGGTTTAAGATTCACTATTCTTGGCGTTAAAGTCTAGATTTATGTCATAGGAGAGAGAATTGCTAAAGATTTGAAAGTGGGGTTGAAGAGTAGGACATACCTGGCTGTGTTGAGGGTTTACTCCCAACTCTATTCAGGGATCACTCCTGGTGATGCTCAAGATACCATGTGAAGTGCAAGGGATTGAACCAGTATCAACCACACAAGGCAAGTACCCTAAACACTGAACTGTCTCTCTGGCTCAATGAACAAAGACTTTGAAGAGAAGAAAATAAGAAAACACTCTCAGGCAAATTTCTCAGTAAACTTATCCATATTGATGTCTCCAAAACTGGTAGCAATAACTGACTGAAAAGAAATATTTTGCATCTAGTGCTGAAATCCTCAGTACATAAGGAAGTAGGGACAAATGATAGTAGCTAACAGCAATGAGAGAGAGAGAGACATCTCAAAAGGAGAAAGAATTTTATTCAACATCCCTGTGAAGTGTGATAAAATAAGTAATAGCTAAGAGAAAGTAACCATCCTAAGAAGTCAGATTTCAAGGAAAGCATACCCTGTGGGAAATCTTTTCTTTTTTTTTTTTGTTTGAGGGCCACACCAGGTGGTGCTCAGGGCTTACTCCTGTCTCTGCACTCAAGGATCACTCCTGGCAAGGCTCGTGGGACCATATGTGGTAGCAGGGATCAAATTCAGAGTAGCCACGTGCAAGTTAAGAGTCCTACATATTTTATCATCTCTCAGGCTGCCATTGTGGAAAATCTTTTGGGGAAAATATAGAGAAAATGGAAAAGTTCATTATAATAAAATTAGACTTCCTAAGGACCTGGTAAGACTTTGTACGACATTAAACAAAACTAAGAAAATTCAAGAATGTAGAGAAACAGAATAACACTAAGAGAATGAATTTAGACTAGTGATCCCCAAGACTGAAGTTCAAGGTAGGGTACGATATCTCACAAGGTTATCAGACTATAGTTTTTGTGTGACATTTGAGCAATAATTTCAAACAGAGAGGTATCTTTTGGAACAAATTCTTGAGCTGATTAGAAATGTACCCAGATGGATTCTAACACTTAGCTCCAAACATCATCATAGCAATCTATGCTCAGTACATCTTGGTTATTTTTTACTATCTAAATGCTCGGGATGACAATCAATGCTTACCCACCAGTAGTGTCATAGTTAGTCTCGTGCTTGGGTGCTCTAAAGTCTGGGTTTAGAATAGGAAAGGTGGCTTGCCCAGTAACCTGTGCTTCTCTCTTGGACGTGTGTCTTGCTTGCTTGTCTCTGTCTCTTTGCTGGCTGGCTGGCTTGCCCTCTCAAGGCCACGTTCGCCATTGAACACACGTCTGCACGGCTCTTTCTCCTTTTTGTTCAACCTAGAGAAGCCCTTGTTCTCTCTTGAACGTGTGTTTCCTCTTTTTCTCTCCCCTCACATCTTTCCAAGAAAATTTTGTCTGCTTCACTATAAAAATAAATAAATAAATATGAAAAATGAATAGGGGAAGCTTTGAAGATGTTTAGAGAAAACAGATCTTGAACTTACTCTTCCCCAAATAGTCAGAAAGGGATTAGCATGCAGAGCTCTGAGTCATAGTAGGGAAGCCAGTTGTTGGTGAGGAGCTCTGGAGTGTAAATTGTGAAATACTTTCAGTTCCACTCAAAATGGGTTTCAGAGTGATGTTCAACCCAGGGAGGGAGCGGGGGTGGGCTTGAGAGTGAAGGCTGGAAATACATGTGTTTTATCATTACTTTCTCTGCTCTACTCTAGAGCAGCAGTGATTTTCTAGTACAGTTTTTCAGACTGATGTCCTGCTGATTTGCAGATTCTCGCTCAAGAGGCCTTTGATAGGGTCAGAGCAGCGTTGAGAGTCCCTAGGTAAAGCAGCACCTTCAGGTCACAGGTCACACTCATCTTAGTGGCTGAGAAGGGGGCAATAGAATGGGTGGAAGAAAAAAGGCCTTATTATGCTGTGAGAAGGAGCTTGGATCACACAAGTTGGAAGCATTTTAAATGAAGACAGTGAGAGGGAAGGAGAGAAGTACTATGAGGCTCTGCAGAAAAGACAACTGTAAATCAAGAAAACACTGGACAGGACAGAACTGAGGTTATAAAGGCATGTGAATGGGGGTTGAAAAGGCAGAATTGTGGATAGGAAGGAATCTATGAACAGCGGACTCTGGTGGAGGAGTGTTAGCACCAACCAAAGTTTTATAGGAGGTCATCACTGACATAATGTACAACTTAAATCAGCATCCAAATCTTCTCACAGAGGTATGGGATTATTATAAATTTTGGAACCACTTTACTCTCCATTAAGCATAGACTGGTTTTACAATAGAAGTCAGTGGTGGGTGTAGTTTGGTAATATTGTACCCCTAAAAGCTATAAAGACATATATTCTTGTAAACCAATGTTACCTCAATTAAAAAGGAGAGACAGAAGTAAATGATGAAGTCATTTTAAGATCCTGAGCCCACAACTGACTACTGAGCAATAATAGTTCACTCCTAACTGTCAGAATTTTCATCTGGGCATTTGGTATCTCTATTATGTCATTTACCCTATGGCAGATAAAACCACAATGAGTTTCCCCAAAGGTAGTTTCTAGATATGTTTACAGTAGGTGGCACTCTTGCACTGTTATTCAGTGTTTAGCAAAGGTGTAGCAGCAGAAGTTTCATGATGACCTTGTAAGGTGATTACTAATACAGCAAATCCTCCGCTCCTGCTTGGGTAACCAGATAGATTTTTCTACCTCTGGTTAATAATGTAAGAGTGCATCCTATATATATATCATTTCATATATATATGATGCTGCATGTTATACTTTCCATTTTTTTCCTTGGTTTTAGTGAGTGTAATGCAGCTGGCAGAGATTCAAACTCATGTCAGCCTTTACTAATGCTTGGAATTCCCTTAAAAGATCCCTGAATTGGGGCTGGAGAGATAGCACAGCGGCTAGGGCATTTGCCTTGCATGCAGCCTACCCGGATTCGATTCCCAGCATCCCATATGGTCCCCTGAGCACCGCCAGAAGTAACTCCTGAGTGCAGAGCCAGGAGTAACCCTGTGCATCGCCAGATATGACCCAAAAAGCAAAAAAAAAAAAAATCCCTGAATTATGTGTTCTCACTGGACCAGTGTATAAACAGTTCCGTTTTGCCAAGTGCATGCCACTGTTGATCCTCCTACTCCCTCTTATAAGAAAAACCCATTATCAAAATGTGTAATTACTCCAAACACTTTCCCTAAGAGTACCTAGAACTCCTTTCACCTCACACAATAGTCAACTTCCCTGTTCCTCCTTAATGTAAATTCTTTTACCACAATTATGAATGATGTAGCTTTATTTAGATAACACACAAAAAAAAACTTCCCCCAAACTGGCATTTAATTTCATATTAATTAAGAAACAGCATTTCCCTCCAAAACGACTACGTGATTTACTGGCCAAGTATTAAGTATTTCTGTGACCCAGGGTAAATCCTGCAAAATTTCCATCATTAGCTACAGTGATAGACTAAGGTGGCCCATATCTGTTTCACCAATTCCAGTGTTGAAAACCTTTCTCTGAATTCTGCCAAGTTGTAAAAATTTTAGGGGCAACGCAAATTGGAAAGAGCATGTTTGTGGTACCAGGTATTTCCCCAATATTCCTAAAGCACATCTTCACCTTTCTACCTCTGATTCATTTCCAGAATTTCATTCATATGCTTTACATGGTCTCAGGCTATCACAATTCGAAAACAATCACCATATTTGTCCAATTCTCTTTTTGATTCATAAGACAGCTTAGAGGTTACCGAGGATAGAGACTTTGGTTGATTGCCATTTCCAAATAGATTTATTAGTTTATTTGCTTATTTACTTTTCTAGTGGATACACTTAGCAGTGGTAGAAGAGACAGAACCTCTCCTCATAGAGACTGGCTCAAATATCTGTAGTGCTTGGGGGGCCCCAGGGGGCCCTCAGTACTGGGGATTAAACTCAAAATCCTGTACTTACTAAGCATGTATCTTTGGCTTGGTATAATACTTGTCCTATTTTATCTTTGGCTTGGTATTATCCTTGTCCTATTTTATATCATTGGACTAGTTAACTATGGAACTACCGGTTATTAAGATAACTCTATAAAGATAACTGTTTGAATTTCAAAGATCATATATAATGTGATCCCTAACTACTAAGACATAATGAAAGGGGAAGAATAATTTAATTTGTCCTCATTATCAGAAAGCTTTTCATTACAGCAGGCCAAGGAATAATAAAGAAAGATTTTTTTAATGGTGTAGAGGTAACTTCTACGCCATGGGTTAACTGTTATGGAACTCATAACATCTATAGTGAAAACTATCAACTTTAACATTATCAAAGGTAATAGCTGGACAAATAAGTTTTCCTTCTACTGGGATTTAAATTCACAAAACCATTAAGACTAGGAAATGCCTCAGAATATTTGTCCACCCTTTCATTAAACAGATAAGAAAACCAATAATCAGAGCAGCTGCAATTTGTACACCACACAATTGGTAAGCAGTGCAATGAAGGTCAAAGCCCCATTCTCTTGGACCCAGAGATGCAACTCGGTGGCAGAGGGCTTGCATTTGCTGTGCGCATGTGTGAGGCAAAGAACTCAATTGCCAGTATCGACCCATGTTGCAGCAGAATATGTGATCTCACTGACTCTACTACTGTGATCCTCAGCACCACAACCAAGTGTATGACCCCTAAGACACAACAATAACAAAATAAAGGAAAACTGGAGAGTTCCATTCTTTAGATGCTGTGATAGACACAGTTTGAATTTAACAGGTACATCTTCAGTAGCTTTACTTGGTGAAAAAGCTCTGGGTATTATGGAAAAAAATTAAAATATGGTTGCCTGTGTATATTTGTGTTTTCTCCTCTTTTATATCCTCTCCTAAGCTCTATATTTCCTTTCTTTAGGTATTTTTGGCACCATGACAAGTCTGGTTTATTTCAATGAGACGGGAGAACTGTCCTGTCACTTTCCAAACCCCCAGAATTTAAGCTGGAATGAACTAGTAATGTTTTGGCAGGATCAGGATAAGCTGGTTCTGTTTGACCTCTACCAAGGCACTGAGCAACCGAGGTCTGTCAATTCCAAATATAAGGGTCGCACAAGCTTCGACCGGGACAGCTGGAACCTGAAACTTCACAACGTTCAAATCCAAGACAAGGGCACATATTCATGTTTTATCCATCATAAAAAACCTGAAGGAATGCTCCCCCTCTTCCAGATGAACTCAGAGCTATCAGTGCGTGGTATGTAGTCAATGGCATGTTCATATGTTTTCTCATATTAGACTATAATCAACAGAGAAACTTTGGTAAGGACATGAAGGGACTTCAGAAGAAGGCAGAGAACAGTTATTTCTGGAGAGTTCATTTGAAGGGACATAGGATTTGAGTGCAGGGAACCAAAAAATCCTTTGTACTTTTTATAATTGCTTCTGAAGGATCAGTTGAAAACTGTGTTATGGCAAAATAGAACCAACTGAGCAAAGGGCTAAGTAATTTAAGCATCACTATTTCTGTAACCATATAGGATTCAAATATCTTTTACATTCATTTTCTGCTTTGGCTAAGACTTCTTACCCAATAAATCCTTGCCTGAAGCTCCTAGCAAAGCTGACAGCTAATTGATTTGGGTTTTTTCTTCAAGCTCTTAGATGATATGTATGAATTATTAGTTGCCCATCCGTGAGTCTTGTAGACAGAAGGAAGTAAGCCAATTCAAGTAGCCCATAAACTGGCAAACTAGCAACTCTTTTTCTAGACATTTGTAAATGTTACTACAAATTTTTTTTGGTTATAATATAGTAATTTTTCATGTTGCTGCATACTTTGGTTAATTTTAACATACAGAAATGTATGTTATGCCAAGTATTAATCAATAGGATAAAAAATGGGATTACATAAATAAGTAGGTTTTAAAACTGGCTTCTTTTATTCAAAATATTATTTTGGGTCCTGTAGGATACAGTAAAGCTTGCCAGATTTAGAAGAAAATGATTGAAGTTATGTTCCTACTAGGTACAAACTGATGCATGTATCAAATGTCTATTACTTCTTATTTAACAGAGAAGATTATTATTTACTTACTTAACCAAAGGAAAGATATTAGGTTATTTTGTGTTTGGGATTATTATGAATATAACTGCTGTAAACATGAACAGTTTGTTCCTTTTTTCTTTTTATTCTTTATTTCTTATTTTTGTTTTGGGGAACTAATCTGGTGGTGCTCAGTGATTAATACTGACTCTGTTCTCAGAGATCACTCCTGGAGAGATTTGAGGGACCATTTTGTTGTGCCCGGGATTCAACTCGGGTCAGCCACATGCAAAACAAGTGCCCTCCACACTGCACTATCTCTCTGGCCCCTGAAAAAATTTTTTGTGTGAGTGTAGGTTTTGATTTAGGTAGTTACCTGGCTATAGAATTACTAGATGCAGATTAATTTTTGGCAAAGCTAGAAATCACAGATCAATTTCAACAGAGACAGAATTAGAAACAGAATGAGGTATTGCTTTCTTTAAGCACTGTGTAATTCAAAGTTGGCCGCAGGACTTCGGTGACATTTAGCCAAGTGCTAGATCAATGTTTTAGATGTACAGCCAGATACCACTGGGAAAAACAGTGTTTCAGGTGGAACACAGACAATAATTTTTAAAAACAGCTTTATTTTAAAAGCTGTTTTTAAAAAGACTTAGTACAGCTTTATTTTAAAATAAAGCTGTTTTTAAAAAGACTTTTTAAAAAATATACATAATTTTTTCAACTTATAATTTCATAGATACTGCTGAGATATGAGGCTACAGTATGATATGATATCTACAGATCTACAGATCACGTATAGGACAAGCAAATGTTTACATAGAACATTTATTTACCAAAACTTGTGAAGATAGCATGCAAACCACTGTATTTTTAGGAACAATATATTCAATAATAAATTTTTAGTATATAGAACCTGAAGGCTACCTACTAATTATAGGAGAAAATTTGAAATTTGGTTGACTGAAAGGGGTAGGCGCCAGTGATCTACTAATAAAAATCTGAATAGGCAGGGACTGCAGAGATAGTGCAGAAGATAAGTGTTTGCCTGTATACAGCTGACCGAGGTTTGATCCCCAGAACCACAGACGGTCCCCTTAGTACTGCTGGAATGATCCTTGAGTGAGAAGTAGTGAATAACCCGTGGACACAGCTGGATATTGTCCCTTCCCCACCATAAGAAAAATATCTGAATGCCAAACTAAAGTCAGGAATACTTTTTAATACCATATATTCTTTCTAAAAACATCTGAGTTTGATCATTATAAGATAGAATGGAAACACAAGTACTGTCCAAAACCAGTATTCTGAATTTTTTAGACAGAACCCAAAACCTACACCCACTTACTTCCCATCACCCTGTTTAGGTAGAAACCAAAATATGACCCAGAGCATACCACTACTAACTCTTTCTGTTGGGACATTTCCCTCAATTTGACCCTTTCTGCTCGCTAGCCTGGAAAGCAAAATGTGCTCCATGGATACTGGGTCCTAAAGTCAGAACACTTCTCTAGCTAACTTCCTAGAACAGAAGCTTTAAAAACTTTGTAACACAGTTTCAATACTCCTGTTGCTCAAATTCCCCACTGCCCCCTCTCCCCCACCCCATCCCACATGTACACACAAATACTCACACATGGACAGAGAGATAGTACAGGAGTTAAGTCTACTTGCACGCAGCTAACATTATTTCAGTACCCAACACCGTATGGCCCCCTGAGTACTACCAGAAGTGATCCCTGAGCACAGAGTCAAGAGTAATCTCTGAGCATTGTTTCGTGTGTCTCAAAAGCCAAAAATTAGATGAGTTTAGCCCTATATTGTAGACATCCCAAATTCTCAGGTGTGCCTCCTTGAGCTCCTAGAACAGATACCTCATTATTTTTATTCTCCTCTGAATGTATTAACGTTTAGACTAATTTCTTTTTTGTGATCTCTCTATTCTGCTTTCAGCTAACTTCAGTCAACCTGAAATAACACCAATTTCTAATAGAACAGAACATTCTGACACTGTAAATTTGACCTGCTCATCTACACATGGCTACCCAGAACCAACCAGGATGTGGTTTTTAATAGAACCAGGGAACATATCTATGTATAACAATGCTGTCATGAAGAAATCTCAAAATAATGTCACAAAACTATACACCGTTTCTATCAGCGCATCTTTCCCCATTGGAAAAGACCACGTGGACGTCTTCTGTGTCCTGCAGCATGATGAAATGACAGCAGAGCTTCGCTCCCTCCCTTACAAAATAGGTAAAAATGCTTCTCAAGACCATTCCTTCTGCTGAGTGTTGTAGGTAAATGGTTAAGAAAGCTTATGCAATGTCACCAAGTTTCCATAACCTCAAACTGAACCGTTTTATGCAACTTCTAAAAAGAACCACACGGCGGACTCCTGCTTCATCTGAGCTTTGCCGGGTTCTAGATACTGTAACTATGCTCCACTTAAGGAAGCATGCTGGCAGCCCTGAAGCAGACCCTGTTTTTGGAGGGTTATCTCTGGATAGAAGATTCTGAAGTTTAAGTTAAAAAATGCAAGATATCTCCAGGCTAAAATCTTCCATTTATTAAACACAGACACACAAACAACACCCCCTCCTCCCAAGCATGCATTTTCACAAATAGCACTTTTATGAGCTGGGCACCATTCTAGACATTATTGGTTGTGGAAATGGGATATGTTCTCTGTTCTCAAAGACCTTCCTACAGAATCAGAACTCCATGAAGTACATGCATGAAAAACAGGATGTCAAAAAAAGTAAATTGTAATCTAAATCATATCCCATCAAATATATGGAGTCTAACTTATATCTAAAACTATGTTACTAAATTTAAGGTCAGAGTGACTTACAATCAGTTATATTGACATTCTGAGATTGAAATTCAGAGAAAGCTTCAAAAAAGGATGTCGACTTTACAACACCATAAAAGAAATCACTGAATTTAATAAGTGCAAGGGAAATACGATAGGTCTTTATACTTTCTAAGCAGCATGAAGACAGTATGAGCAGTATGAGAGAGCCTCTAGTCTTAACAGATAACCGTCACGAATGAGCAGTATTCGACATGTGCACTGGGAGGGGTGGGGAGCATCAGTACAGATGAATCCAGGAGAAGGTTAGAAATGTTAATTCCTGTGGCGTAATGGCTGTTATATGGAGCCCAGTGCAGCTGCAGGACAAGTGTTTCAAATACGTACTATCCGCTATTAGGAGCTTGCCATTTTAAAACTGCAGCCTCATCCTGGTGGGAACACACCCATATCTAAGACCTTTTTTTGAGGAGTAGAAACTTCAAAGTTCAGCCCTGGAATAAATGTGTTCTGCAAACAGGCCCAACCTGCTCCCCACCCCCATATCTATAAAAGTTTTCCCCATCACCCCTAGCAAGTCTGTTTTATTTACCTCTTAGAAACTTTGCAGTTCCCACTTGAGAAGTGAATCCCAAATTTCTTTTTTAAAAAAATTCTATTTATTTATTAGTGAAACACCATGAAGTACAGTTGTAGACTTACAAACTTTTGTGCTTGGGTTTCATTTATACAATGATCAGGTACCCAACCCTCCACCAATGCCCATTCCCCACCACCAATGAACCCAGTAGCCCTCCCATCCCCCACCCCCTCCATCCCGCCCCACCTCTGTGACAGGGCATTCCCTTTTGCTCTCTCTTTCCTTTAGACTGTTGTGGTTTGCAATAGAGGTATTGAGAGGCCATCATGTTTGATCTATAGTCTACTTTCAGCACACATCTCGCATCCCGAGCGAGTCTTCCAAACACCCTTTACTTGGTGTTCCCTTCTCTATCTGAGCTGCCTTTTCCCCCAGCATGTATGTGCTGCCGGCTTCTATGCTGTGGAGCAGACCTGCTGGTACTTATCTCAACTATTCTTGGGTGTTCATCTCCCATTCTGTTACTTTATATTCCCCAGATGAGTGCAATCTTTCTATGTCTGTCCCTCTCTTTCTGACTCATTTCACTTAGCATGATAATTTCCATGTTCCTAGGAGTTAGTTGATCCTGCTCCTGATTCCTCAAGGCATAGACAGCTAACAAAATTTTTCTAATTTGCAGAACTTGCTGCAAACCAGGCAGGAGCAAATATGCTGTGATAACATTTGGGGAAAAAAATCTGGAGCTAAGGGTTTCATCAGGAGCCTGTCATATCTGTCTGGTTGAAAGGTGACTGGGGCCTGATCTAATGATGCTAGTATATGGAGAAATAAGGAAAAGGACAGGGGCTCACTCCCTCTGCAGCTGAGGCTTCAGGACACTACAGAGTTGATGTACATGCTAAGTCCCAGGTACCTTGCTCAGGTTCCAGAATAAGACCCTTTTCTTCTAGGTCATTGTCCTTGCCACCACAGCTTCCAGGAAGGAAAAGGAGCTTTTCCTAGGCACTTGCCTCAAGTACTGACCTGGATCTGTTGGCTGTTGAGACCCTGAGACTGGGACCTGTATGATATTTCTTTCTTTTTACCTCCAAAATAAATAAAGAAATCAGAACACATTTTATAAAACTAAAAATTAAAGAATAATACCAAAATAAGGGATGAACTGATGCATGAAAATTTTTACTCTTTTGCTGAACAGGTTAAATAAAAATGTATATTCAGACTAGGGATGTGGCTCGTGGCAGAGTGCAATGCCTCACTGGTTTCAGTTCTTAGCACTCTCAGAAGGAAGCCCAAATGGCTCAGTATCCCAGATTGTACTTCAGTACTCTGGCACAGACACTCACGTCCATCTAGCCCCACAATAGCCATCATGGATTTCTGGTTCTTCTCACAGTGGAGCCATGGGGAGAGACTTGCATGAAAATAAATATGGGGCTGGAGTGATAGCACAGTGGGTAGGGCATTTGCCTTGCATGCAGCCGACCCTGGTTCAATTCCCAGCATCCCATATGGTCCCTGAGCACTCCCAGGAGTAATTCCTGAGGGCAGCACCAGAAGTAACCCCTGTGCATGGCCAGGTGTGACCCAAGAAGCAAAAAAAAAAAAATAGCATTAATTATAAAGTTTTTAGAATAAACCTTCATGGCTCATTTAAATGTGTGATCATTTCTAGATCCAGTTTCACTCCCACCTGACCAAGAATTTCCCCCCTGGATTTTGGCTGTAATTGTAATTTTTGCTGTTGTGCCTCTGATGGTATATCTAATACTAAAGAAAAATAAGAAGAAGCCTGGCCCCTCTTGTGAACGTGGTGAGTCAAACTTGTTCTTTTCACACACTGCCATTTTGCAGATACTTCTTGCTCAATGAGTGTTGAGTAGAAAAGATTTTCTCTCATGTCATGGGTCTGACATCTGATAATTGCTTCTCTGAATGTCTAGGAAAGGGATTATTTCTAACCTAGTCAGTCAATGAACATCCAATCTCCAGACTGTCTTTTATTCATTGTTTTACCGACCTCACTTCATGAGGTGAAAGAAATTTCATCGAAAAAGAAATTTAAAAAAAAGAAACTTACTGTGAGAGTTGAAAGAAATTTAATGGTAAGGACATTTCAAAAAGTTCATAACTATGGACATACGATGGTTGGTGAGTTGGGGAGTTTTATACTCTAGTGTATAAAACTCTAGATTTTTATGTATTTATTATATTAATACATTTTAATTTTATTTTTTAGATTTTGTTTTTTATCAAATCATTGTGAGATACACAGCTAAAAATTTGTATATGATTGGGTTTTGATCATACAATGCATACAATGTTTCAACACCAATTCTTTCACCAGTGCACATTTCTGGCTGCCAATGTTCCCAGTTTCCCATCTGCCCACCCTACCCTACAAAGTGGAAGGGACAATACTGTAGGATAGAGAAGGGATCACTGTAATAATGATAGTTGGAAATTATCACTCTGGACAAAAATTCTAGTTTTTATGGGATGTTAACTTGTTCCCACTGACTTGTAAAAAATATTTATTTATTTCAATTACTGATAAGGCATGGTGGGGGAAAAGTACTGGCCTACACACAGCCCAGTTCTAATTATTGTGTCTCCTCCAAAGGGGAGCATGAAATGTTTAAAACAAGCATTTATTCAAAAAATAGAGAAAGTGAAGGAACCAACACACAGCTGAAAATAGTGTTAATTTTTTTGTACAAGAAAAAGAGGAAACAGCAGACACTCTTGCCAGCACAGTGAGTGGAACTGTCTTAGTTTTAGCTCAATTTTTAGGTTTTTTCTCTTTTTTAGGTTTTCCCACCTTTCTTATGCCTTCCCATTCTCCTCTCCAAAAGGGTAAGAATTCCTGGGATCTGACATCTTGACCATCTTAGGCCACTTTCATGAGTTACTGTAATAACTATAAACTATAAACTGTCATGGTTCCTGTGACCACGATTTTGATATGTTGAAGCAATATAATTATCATGTGATGAGCTAGAATTGACTCAGTGGTCACTTATTGACCTACATTTGTTCTTTGGGTTGCCACAAAGGGACAAACCTCACTCAAAAAAAAAACCCCATAAAACTAGGTTGAATTGTCCTCTCACTGTCAATTTGGCATTGGCATTTCTCTGCCAGAGATTTGGTTTATGTTTTCGGATCCTGCTTCACTTCTCCCTGTCTTTTATCATACTCCCACAATCCCAACTATACCATTATCTAGGTACCTATCTAACACTAAGAAGTACTAATTATCTATTACCAAGTACATTGAAAATAACCATCAGTGAAAGCTCCACTAGTGGTGCTGGAGAGATGGGACAACAGGTAAGGCAAAGCTCTTCCCTTGCCTGCGGCCAACCCAAGTTTAATCCCTGGCATCCCTTATTCCAGGAGTATATCTGAGCACTGCCAAGAGTAATACCTGAGTGCAGAGCCAGGAGTAAGCCCTGAACATTGTCAGGAGTGGCCCCAAAACAAAAGCAAACAAACAGAAAGCAAAACTCTACTAGTAATAAAATGATGTAGGAAGCAATTTTAGTGTGTATTTTTCTAAGTATGAACTATAGAAAGACAGTTTTTCATATTGCATGTATTGTTTTCTATATATTTTGTATTAAATATACAAGGAACATTTTAGATATCATAAAGTGTCATTTTAAATGACTATACTAAATATTCAACAATGGAAATGCCTTAATCTATTTAATCAGCTTCATAATGTTGGTCCCTTGGGGTTTTTTTATTATTATTATTATTATAAGTGTCACTGTATTGAGCAGCCTTCCCACTGACTTCTATTCTAAAACTGGTCTATGCTTAATGGAGGGTAAAGTGCTTTCAAAATTTATAATAATCCCATGCCTCTCTGAGAAGATTTGTACACTGATTAAAATAAGTTTGACTTTATTTCAGTGATTATCTCCTATGAAATTTGGTTGGTGCTAATAATTAAGATAACCTTTTACTCATTAATAGAAAAACCCACAGGATAAGTAATGTTTCTGGTCAGCATCTTACTTAAAATTTTAGTAAATTGATTTTAAGATCCATCTAGAAAATAGATGAATGATACTAGAAATCATTTGATTTATCTCACTAGGTTTTAAAATAAGAAATTGGGGAGAGATTATAAAATTGTTATAAATTAAGCCAAAGTGTGTGGCATAGTCATTTAAATTGCCAAGGTACAATCTTTGCTTAGATATTTTTGTGAATGTAAGTATGTAAAATTTAGAGCACAGGATCAGATGTAAGATTATATTTATTTATATTTATTTAACCAGCTTCATAATGCTGAGCCCTTGGTTGGTTTTTATTATAAACAGCACTGAATTAAGCAGCCTTTTCACTGACTTCTATTGTAAAATTGGCCCATAATTTATATATGTATATATACATATGTGTATATATATAGATTTCTCATGGAGTTGAAAAAGTACATATTTACTATAAGAAATGTGTACAATGACACATATGTACATAAATAAGGTACCTAATATACCATAAGAAAGGGTCAAATTGAGCTTTGAATAGTAAAAGTCAAGACCAAAGTAGTGTAACACAAATATGACAATGCTTACCCTCAGGATTATGATAAAGGAAAAAGTTGTGTGATCAGACAGTCACTTGTCCTGGTGAGTTTAGTCAAATCGAAAATCCCAAAGTCACTAAAGGGACTAAAGTAGTATGTAGACATAGATGTTGTATACTCTGCTCTGTGACTTTAGTAATATCTGAACTTGCCTTGCTGATTCTTCTGGAGTTGAATCTAGATAGGGAGAGTAACATCCCAACAAGATGTCTCTAACTCAGAATCTATAATATCCTTCTAGTTTTTTGATATTTTGGACACCACGTCTTACAAGCTGTTATTAGTAGGGATTTCCATGAACTATCCTAGCTCCACAGCCAGGAGTCCCACCAACATTGTCCCAGGTTTCCTCACCAACCCCCTTCCTGGGGTAAGCTTCCTGTTGAAGATGAGTTCTCAGTTCCTGTTGCCTTTGGGCATTTGTTATCCCCCTATTCTGTTTCTTCATATCCCATATAGATGAAAGAACATTCTGGGTCTGTCGTTTTCTAAATACTGACTTTCTTTTTCTAAATACTGACTTGCCTCAGCATGGCATGCTCCAGCTCCACCCACATGGCAGCAAATTTTGTTATTATTTTTCTTAGAGTCAAGTAACATTCATTTTGTATATGTAGCATGATTTCTTTATCTTATCATCTTGGGCTGTTCCCATATTTTTTCTATCCTGTAATGAACATAGGAGTGTAGATGTCTTTGAGTATTGAGTATTTGACCCTTATGGGTGGATATCTAAAAGTGGAATTGCTGGGTCATGTTAAAGCTTAATTCCTTCTTTTCTGAGAAGTATCCATATTGTTTTTCAAATTCATTGAACCATTAGACATTCCCAATCTATAATGTCTTATCTTCTATGGCAAAAGAGACTCTGAACATGTGATAAAGTTATCAACTTTAAAATTATGAGATTATTCTGGATAATTCTGGTGGGCCCAATCAAATTGCATGTGTCAAAGGACCATTTCTTACTGAAATAAACAAGGGGATAATAAAGGGGAGAGACTCACCATCTGAAATAGGTTCAACTCACCATAGCTGGCTTTGAAAATGGAGAAAGGGTCCTCAAATCAAAAAATGTGGGTGGCCTCAATAAACTGGGATTAGCACTCAGTTGAAAGTCAGAAAGGAAATGAGGATTTCAGCCCCATAAGAAACTAAAGGAATGCGTGGAAATAAATTCTGCCAATAGATGTGGATACAGTCATAATTTATTTACAGAGGTACGAGTTTGCTTATAGCCAAATGGAATTTCTCCAAACTTGAAGTTTCTTGCTAATCCATAATTAATTCCTTTCTTGAAAAATGTATCTTTCTAATTAACTTGACATCAAGTCTTTCTGGCATTTTATCACTAATTATAGTTTTTTCTGTTTGAAACATACTTTTTTTCATTTAGACTTAAAAATGAATAAAAGAGAAGTTACATATTAGTCTACCTGATTTCAAATCTCTCTTCCCTATTTTTGTTTTGCCAAATGTTTTGTTTAGCAGAAATGGCCTGAAAATTTATAATCTAAAACTACTATTTTTTCTAATCAGAAGTTACCCTGTGTGCTCACTCGTTGGAGATAAAAACTAAAATAGTTCTTACTGGTTTTACTTTTCCGTTTTGATCTTATGTGACTGAAATCTATACACAAATGTGCTCCAACAACTAACAGTTTTTATAACTTGTCACCTTTCAACTAACCTACCAGTGATCGTAGATCATTATCTGTGATCTTAACAGGACAAATGGGTTTTCTAAAATAAATCACATTTAACCATGATTTAGACAGAAGTTTACTATTTTAAAACAGGACACTGGAGATACCATGATGTCTGCCCTTCAAAACATTTAATTTAAGATCAAATCCAAGTTTATAATTTGCCTTTTTATTCTTTTTTTAATTTTTAAACATCAAAGATTTTTTAACAGTGATGATTTTGCCATAGGTATTAAAGGATAATTCAATTATTCTGTGTTAATCTATAGCTACTGAAATGGTCATAAATTCCATTTTTTAAAATTTAGTCACAGTGAAATTACAATTAGTCACAGTTGGGTTCCAGGAATACTCTGTTCCAACACTGATTCCTTCAACAGTGTCCACTTCCCTCCACCAGTTCTCCCTCCCTCACCCGGTTTGCCTCCCACCGTCTGCCTTTATGGGATGTGCTTTTTTCTCCGTGGTCTATTCTCCAGCACCCACACAGAGGCACGCTTCTAACTG